ATTGATGACGTGAAAAATAATAACGGTAACTCCATTGAAATGATTCAATGATTTTAAAATGTAAGAAGTAGAAAGTACAGATATTTGTGTAAAAATGTAAGGAGTAGAAGTAAAAAGTCGCCATAAAAATAAGTAGTAAAGTAAAGTAAAAGTACCGGTATCAGAAAAATCTACTTGAGTACAGTAGCAAGGTATTTGTACTTCGTTACTTCCCATCTCTTGTTTATACATAAACTACGTCTTTAAAATAAAAAAATCTGAAATTACATTATTGCTTTAACATTTCTATATATTATAAATATAATCCCGGTACTTTCTTTTATTTTCATTTTTTTACATTTACAATATAATCCACTTGTGACCAATAAATAAAATCAGGTCTCAGGTCATAGGAATGCTCATAGAAAGAGCCTCTTAAAAGCGAAAATGCTAATATGTGTCCTTCTTTTCTGGATTTAAAGGATCGGTCCATATATCCTTCCTGGCCTATTATCTATGACTCATTGCAGAAAGCTTAGACAGCTTTAATGAATTCAGCTAATATGCTTTCTGTGACATACACTTTGTGTTTTAGCTGAAAATGTTGCTTAATTAAAATGAAAATTCAGTTAATTTTTTCAAAATTTACTGTAACTCAATTTCCTGACCAATAAAACTTGATAAGTTTAATTATAAAACCCTGAGAACTTATAGGTTTATTCCTGACACCATTTCACCTGAGAACTCACAACTTTTTACTTCAGACCAGAGTTCCAAAGCGTTATTTTTGTGATATTTTACAACTTTTTTGCCTGATATCTGGCAAAGTTTAAGACTGAATGTGTGTTAAAATGTACACCATACCTTTTAATAGAAAAAACTCTTAAACAGCTGTCCGCTGCAGTGACCATTATGGGCCAATGTGCAGGGTACTGTTTAAATTACATGTCTTATACTTCTTTAAAAACAAAAATAAAATAAGATCTTAAATTACATAAACTGTACTTAAGGCATTATTTTAACAGGTGTATGCATTTTTGTTTTAATCCATTGCATGCTACTGTAAAGAGGGTATTAAGAAAAAAGTTGGATTGCCAAATGTGCTACTTTTGCAAAAGTGAAATTATGCAGCTGAACTCTTCATGCTTGCAATGCTTTTGAAATATCTTACTTCTGCTCTGTCAATCACAGAGTGGAAATACCTCATTGCAACACCAACCAAAGTAGGTATAAATACCAGCCCTTTTCTTACATTCAGACATCAAAATCTAAGCAACTTCACTTGATTTTGAAGCTCCAGCTGGACCAACACTCCCAAAATGAAGGCTTTCACTCTTGCGGTTGCTGCGGCCATCATGGTGACAGTCATCGGGATCCATGAGGGATCCGCTGACATGATCATTGAAGTAAGAGCATTGAAACTTTAATTTTTACGTTCATATTAGTCACAACATTAGCATACTTGGTCAAAATTAACAACATCTTTTACAGGGTGCTGAACTGATGGATGGATTGGCCAATGTCAGCCCAATCGCTGAAGGTGAAGACATGCCAGCGGACTCCTGGAAGGTCAGTCAAGTGAATAAATAAAATACTACGCATATATAGAAATATTTCTGAATATTTCGTAGTTATATAGTAGGTGGGGTTTACTTTTTTCAATTAATACATGGAGTTAAAGGTTACTGAACATATTTCAGTCTTACAGCATTTCATATTTGAAATGATACTATTTTTTTATTTACAGATGCCATATGAGAGAGCTATGCTGCGCCGCCGTCGCTGTCGTTTCTGCTGCGGTTGCTGCCCTGGAATGAGAGGTTGTGGCATCTGCTGCAGATTCTAGAAAAGGCCTAAAAACAGCATGAAGATAAATGAACTACAGGGAAAAAAATGCAGTTCAATAAATCGTTGCTTTTTATGGATCTAAGCAGTTTTTATGCTTTCATTGTAACAATGTGGATGGTGCTTTACAACCAAAAGGTGTTACCATACTAAACATTGTTTTTAATGCTTTATGAGTATAACTATGATGTTTAGACTCAGTGTTTGGATAACTTGATCAGAGGTGTAATTTTTGGTGTCATGATAAATCTTACCCCTCAATAAATATTCTTGAAAACTTCATGACTTATGTGTTTGCTTGTAGTTTGCTTTCAATTTACAAAAAACACAGTTTGTAAAGAGTTAAAAGATTATGCTACATGGAGATGTAAACAAGGGGGAAAAAAGTAATAAGGACAACAACAAAGGGTTGGAAATT